CTCGACACGGGTGTGGGGTTACCTGCAGCTTTTTGGAAGGGTCAGGGTAGCAGACAGTAGTAATTTCTCCCAGCCGGGCATGATGTATCAGTAACTGCAATTTAGAAAAAAGATGGAGGTGGAGTACCGCAGAGCTACTGAAGGAGACTAGATGGCTGAATACACTGAGTAACATTCCTCCCTCTCCCAGTTTTCTTCGCACTCCACTAGTTATGGAGGTATTTCAACGAGTTCTTGACCCAAATTCCACCACCAGAGCCCCATGCGTGCACCCCCTTCAACTCTCCTCTTTGAGATAGTCAGTAACCAAAAGAGAGACACTGAAAATAAGTACTATAAGTACAGCCCCAATGTTAGAAAGTTTTATCCAACAAATGGCACCCACTCACAGTAAACCCATTCCTGAACCTAGACCTCCTGGCGCTCGTAAACGTGTCCTTGCTGCGAGTCTCGCTTCTACCGATAACATCGATGTCGCTGCTGTGAAACAGCATAAGCTCGAGGCCATAGCTGCAGAACGCCAACAACACCAACCTTCCATTCAGGATGCCGATGCCGACGACGATGACCAAGACAACGACCTCACTGTGAATACTAGTCTTCGACCATGAAATGCATCCTGTATCCTTGAGGCGGCTGATGGAAGTGATGATGTTGAGCCTGATGTTGCGACAGGTGGATGGGGTGGTAGCTCTGATGACGAAGAGATGCCTGGTTTGGAAGATGTTGACGCCAGTGACGAGGAAGACGAAGAGGATGAGGAAGGGGAGGTTGAAGAGACTGACGAGGCAGAACTTGGTAAGTATCCTGTTGGCCATCGTCAAAAGCTTCGACTCACTGTGACCATTCTTTCCAGAGCGTCTGATTGAGGAGTGGACCTCACCAGTCTACGCGTTCTTCCAGCCCATCCCTGATATTACCTACGATGCCAAGGGCCGCCGTGCTCATGAATTCCGCTGTGCCACGGCTGTTTGTAAGTGCAAAGGGGCCAACGTGAGGATGGTTCGGTGCTATCTTGATACGACGGACCGAAAATCGACAAGAAACCTGAAGTGCCATGCAACTGGATGCTGGGAAGCTGAGACCATAGATAGTGCTTTGGAAGTGAAGGTTGACATTTGCTCTGCTTGCGCAACCCTCGGAAACCTCAAGGATGGTTCAATTATGGCTGCCTTTGAACGGAAGGGGAAAGGGAAGATCACGTACTCACATCGCCAGCACACCAAGCCAGAAACCTGGTATGAAACTTTCTCTCTTCTACTCTCTTCATGCTGAACATTACTTGACAGTGTGGAGATCGTTCGTTGGGTGGCGGAGAGTATGTGCCCTTTCAGTATAGTTGAAGACCATGGCTTTCGCTGCCTCATGAAAACGGGGAGGCCTGAATATTACTTACCATCGCATTCAACCATTTCCTGAGATGTCAAAGAATTTTCATTAG